CATATATGGAGCACGGAGCCTTTCTATGGGATAAGTTTCTTGCCTCGAGGTTTTGTCGAGCTCTGCCTCGACTGAAAGCGCCGTACGCAGGAGGACGCAACTTCGATCACTGATGGAACGCCCATTGCGGAGGTACGATCGTTACGCGGCCGTTGTTATCGCTCATTGTCGCATTTTACTGCACAATATGGTTGTCATGTCGCTGCACTTGGTCCCATAACGCTATTTCATTAGGAAAAATTTATCGAAAATATTTTTGCTGTGACCGATCTCAGGATCAAAAAAGCTGCCTCTCTCCTCTAGATACTTAGATGGTGCTTTCGCTTTTTAGCGAAGTTCTGTACGTTTTTCCTAGTTAAAATGCATAATATTGAAATGCACAACGGTAATCAAATGAAATCATTGCCCTACAAGATTCGAAATTTATCTATGGAAAATTGGTGCATGCACAACAACTGAAAAATGTTTGTAAGCGTCGTTATATCTGTAGAATTCTTGTCCGTCTATTCTGTGTCTTTTCTCATGTAACGCCATCGCTGCTTCATCAAATCGGAATTAAAAGAACAGAGAAATGAACCGATGCTCTGATCCATGCATCCACCAGACAGACAACTGATGCAATAAATCGTTTTTTGCAATTACGTTTACGGACAATCCCGTTGCAAAATTGCATTGCCAAATTCGCTTCATTGATCAATCACAAGTACGGATCCTGGCTCTATGCAACAAATGTTCGAGAATGTTTTTGTTGTACTTCAATTAACTTCCAAACGTGGTTTTTCAAAACTTTTTTCATTAGCTAATGATGGCACTTCAGGAGTATTCTCGTTTAATATCTCATATGGCTCGAATTCAATTAAATGAGTTTTTAATAGTGCTTCAGTTATTTTTCCCTACAGTATCTGTGGAATAGTGAAATTGGAATATCTGCGCTCAAAAAGCAGACTTGCATTGTAAGGCTGTTATTAATTCAGTTGGAGATTCTTCTTTTGAATTAATAGGCTTTATTCTCCTCCATTGCCTACAATCAGTTTTGTTTGAGTTTTGTCGTGACGGCGCAACACCACTCCCAGAAATAGCGAGGCATATAAATTCAATTCAACTCATCTGCGTTTCTCTTTTTGGCTCAAAAAATCTGAATTCACTGCATCCACAACGTTGAGTATAACTTCAACACCACTTGCATGGTCACAAATATAATCATTAGAAAACATGATTCGCCTTCAACAATGTCACTCACATTTAAGTTAATTCAAAAGTTCTCAACCGCTGTTCAGGTGCCTATTATTGTACAAGGCGCCTGAAACCATGCGATGTTTATCGAGTGCAATACAGAGCCTTTTAGGCGTATATAGGATTGCCTTCGAATGGCCAGCATTAGCGGCTCACTTGCACTGCACAGACTTTAGATTATTTATCGATCGCTGTAATTTTGACTGTGTTTCATCTAGCGAATCTGTTTCAAGGCACATGCATTGTTTTATGTGCTACTCTGAGCAAGTTTGTACCAGAGATTATTGTTCTAACATTCGAGTACAAATTGGGTTTCTTTAACGCATCGCTATTGGATTTCATACCAACACGCATTAATGGCATCCGCTCATATTCACATTGAAAAGTCAGTCGGATCAGGGGAATTAAATCCTTTGTTTGTTTGGGCTTAGCGGAAATAGATAAATTGAATTAGTTTTTCATCAGAATATTCTTTGTTCTCTAGTCGATGATTCGATACACAGCGTCATATTTTGCAGCACACGCAATAGTCCCGAAGATTACACCGGAAAGCCTGTGAGCAATACCAGGCTCAGGTGGCAATCAAACTCGGCAGGCACGCTGCGTGCATTCAATGCAGTAAGAAGGTTTGTGATGATATGTTTCTGTTTGCAAGAGCGACCGTATTTTGGACCGCACGGGCATTTATGGCCTAATATTCAGTGACTATTGTCGGCCTGCAGCAGCATGGCGTTTGCGTGTAAATCGCGTCCTGTTAGCGCAGTGAATTTCGGCGATGCATTAATGGACGTTGATATCCTATCGACTGGACGATTTTATTAGGCCACGTGGGATTTATTAATTGTATCGTATTTATCATGTTTAGGTTTGCGTATGAAGAGCTTATTTTCCTACGACCATCTCTGCAGTAATTAAGTTCTATAATTTTGATTCTTAATTAAATGATAGGTAATTTTTGTGCGTCACATTTGACCGATGAGTATTTATCAAAGCGAGATGGCATTAGATTATTAAGACATCTATCCCCAGCGCAGTATCATGTATACCGCCCTCGCCGAAGACATCCATTGCGTGGAATTGTTTGCTCACAAGGACCAGAATATTCTTGGCTGCCTAATGTACTGCAAGAGGAACAAAGATAAATCTTCTGGCGTGGGTGGAAATTTGAACCAAATTTTGGGGATTTTTTGTGCCTCATTGTATGCAGAGCGAGTGCTGCTTTCACTGCCGTCGCTTGCGGTCCTGAAACTCTACGGAAGATAAGTTGCAGCTTCTGCTGCCGCAGCGTCATTTCTCTCATGTTGTGAAAGTGAAAGCAGCTACTCGCATAAATAAGTATTGACAATAACAGCTTCAGTTAACTAAACCTGCTGTTCCTTTTGGTTCATCTGATGAGCCAGGATATAGTGTTTTTTTTCCTTTTCATGCCTATTTACCTCGTTTAGTTCATTTATCACCAAATAGTTACATTAGGTGTTGCACACTTGATTCGTAGTTCGAATATATTGGAACTTGTGAAAAATCATTACAATGATGATAATAATAATAAATTATTTTGTTTCCCTCGCAATTTTGCGAGGATATTTACCATTTTACTAGATTTATCGGTGTCCATTCGAGCTGTAGACTTGATTATCAGACTTGTAAGTTGATGAGCTAACGAATCTGTTGCAGTTGCAGAAATTAGTGGATTGGGATTAAAATTCAGGAGTCTATATATTTATATCACGTGCAATAATTGCATTAATTTATTATAAGCGAGTTTGGCTGTTATAACTTGTTGCTGCAGTGACCCACCTGGTGACAGTTAAAATCCTTCGAACTTCAAGGTCGTTTCTTCCTGCAGTTCAAATTTTGCGTCGATATGGCATTCTACTTCCAAATTAATTCTTTATTAAAATTGTTATTTTATTACAATTTCTGACTTCGTAAGATTTCCATCGTCCCAATGAAAGTAAGGATAAATGCTACCACACTCACTATACGCTTAAAAAACTAAAAATTATTGGCGGGTTGTAAAATAAGTAAGTTTGATCGACGTCCCGCGTAAGCGTCGTTCGGCTTCTCAGGTGTGGATCGAAAGGTGAATTTTTTTCTTACTTTATTTTGTTTCACAAAATCTCGTTGGGTTGGTTCGTAAAATATAAATGGGGAGCGAAATTTATGCTTCGAGTAAATGAAATTTTTCTTTCGAGAAATTCAATTTCTCCGTCGGCAATAAAATTTCTTTTTGCTGGTGAATTGCATTTCTAAACATGTAAATTCGAGTTTCAATTACGACATTTCCGTCGAAATATTGCTTCGTTACTTTGATGCATAAATTAGAAAATATTTAATTAGTTCCGCTCCAATGCCGGCCGATAATTAGTTTTCCTAGAACCAATGCAGACGCGAACTGACAGTGAAATCCAAAAGTAAAATGTTACTTTATATAGATAATTCAGTTCATCCAATAGTCTATGTTCTAGTTTCCACGTTTTGATTTCAATAAAAATAATTTCGGGGTTTAAATTTTCGACCCTACTTCAATATCTTCCTATATTTTCCCTGATAAATCATTTATTTGCAAAAAAAAATTCGATTTGCTTTGAATTTCGCTGTTTCCATTTCTTCAGAATCGAATGAATCGTTTTGAAAAATTTAGTTGAAAATCTTGTCTTTTTCAACGAAACTTCTATCTATGACCAATCAATTTCCTTCATTTTCCCCAAAGAATTTTTATGTAATGGCCATCAGATTTAGATGTCGTTTCTATAACCACAGATCATCTTTTTCATTTTGAAAATTTGCATCTATACTTCCCTGGTAAACAAGTTGAAAATATTTATTTTCATAAGTATAAATGGCGATTTATGAAATAAATTCCACGTGGTGTTCTTAGCGTGCGATTTTTAAGGATCACCAGGAAGAAAGTGAAAGACCGAAGTCAATGTTATTTAATTAATATAGATGGTCGTCATTATTCAAAAAAGACTTTTTTACTGAGTATTGGCAAAATATTTTCAAACGTGAGGCATCTTTTTGATAGATGGGTATCTCTAAAATTTTCGCAGCTTGGGGTCTGTATTTCATAGACACTGAAATATTTGATGCAATCTAAACTTAGTGGTGCATGGATAGCGCTACACCATTTCCTTCAAGGATTTCAGCCCGATTATCTACGGCGAACGAAAGGCTGATGGCTACCTCAATAAGATATAAATCTTTTAAATTAAGCCATTTGGTACCATAGTCATCCTCTGGACTGATATCATCATGCAGGTGTTCACGACGCTGTTTATGCAATTCGTTTGGCAATAACTATTTTATAGTCATTTTCGCGCACCATTGTCCAGATGAATTTATAAACATGAGTGTCCCTACTTGAGACACTTAATAGGAATTTCAAAGCTTTGGAAATTCAGCATTCAGATTTATTTTGGCTTCTAATGCATAGTCACCATGTAAAATGCGTGTTTTGTTGACTGATTTTCATTAGAGTTTCAAGTTCATGTCTATTATCACATTTTTTTCGTAAATAAGCTATCTTATCCCCATGAGAAAACAGACTAGACGAAGCTATGCAGGAGCATATGTTCAGTCTTAAAATGCCTAGCACATTACGGACCAGGCAATAAGTCCAGCAGCTATCTCAATCAATCGTCAGCTATGGAAAGATCGGGTTCCAAAGGCCGGATCCCTTGTGAATCAAGTCACGAAAAGTTCAAGAATCGGCAACAGGCCATGGGCCTATTTCTTCAACGCCGACACTTCTATTCTATGAGCAGAATCAGAAGTGCGGTATTCGCTGCTGGACTGGAAGCAGCGCTACTGGTTCACGGTGCAGCCGCACACCGGCGTCGTGGCGCTAGTGTCGCCTCTCGACAGAGAAACTACAGCGCACGTGAGTTGCAGACCAAATAATGCATGTGCTATGTGTACTGAGATGTATTGAGATAAACCGCTTTACTCTTGTATTGAGAGTGAATCGGTACTGATGTATCTCTGTAATACTGAAATTTGTACAATATTGCCGTTGTGGTTGGTTATCAATAACAAACCGTTTTTGTTTTGAAGTAATCGGTTCTCTGGTCGCCCCACCTGCCTTTGCTGTGCTAGATAAAAAATTTCGAAATGCAGGTAAAGTTTCACTGCGTCCCACTTTTCATCAACACCAGTGAGACGCCCCCCACTCTAAGAGAATAATTGATTCAATAAACTGGTCTACTCGCTTGTATCTGTGAGCAATCCATTCGCAGTGCGAAATTCATTCCAGGATTATTGAATACCAAACCTTGGCTTTCTAGTGGCTATCGAACGAAAGCTCAAAATTCATACAGTTTTCACTTGTCAGAAAAACTTGCAATATTCTGATCCTATAAGACTAAACGCTGACTATGCCAACCTGTTACCAAACCTTCTGGTACCGACAGCCTTTACGACGGTTAACTTGTCCGTAGATAAAGTATCAATTTCTTCAATACACAACATCCAAATGCGGTGTTAAATGCACTTTTAATCAAATCAAATCGGCTGATTTGATCTCAAGCTGTATCTATACGCGGGATCATTGAAACCTTGCCCTTTAATACTGCTATCACAAAACTGTTTATTCGTCTGATACGCTTTACGCCGCTGTCATTTAAATGTATTCTTCATATTATCTGGCTTACAATATTTCTTAACTATGAGAAGCTGAACTTGGAGACTCTGCAAGTTTCTTGTCAGCTGCCACGTAGTTTTGATTCAATATGTATCAGGCTTCGAAACTTCGAACTTCAAGCCTTCTATTTTTTTTTCTTGAGCATATACACAATACAATATATCTCAATATATTGTAATCGCAGGAGAAGTCCAGTCGAGATTAGGCTTAATTTCACGACCCGTAACATTGTAGGTGCAATTAATCAGGAACCAATCGCCCTGCAGACGAGTTTTTCTGCCTCACAAATGCAGGAACTCTTATAGCCAAAGACGCCCGAGTCAGCACTTTTTTCTCTCGTCTACTCATTTTTTCCGGGCGCTAACTTATTATCCTTCATTTCGGGCCTCTACGGCTTCGTTTTTCGGAGGAATGACAACTACAATTGTAATTGCTCCATAGGAACCGTCCTTTCGATAGCGAATTTTGGCCAAACTTTGGCAGTTGCCATAGAAAAACTATGATCCATTCAACTAAAGTGTTGATTGTTCCTTGCCCTTGGAAAACTATTCTAACCTAAACTTTGGTGAAACTTAACGCCTGATTAATGGGGGTGATTGGTGCGAGTTCCCCTATAAAGTTCTTCCATATCGATGGAAATAATTGCTTCCCGGCAATCGCCCGACAACTGGATGCCTGATTGCCCTTTGTGCTTCAAATCATGTACATTATTTCGTCTTATTAGTATTGCAAAAAATGCATCCTCATTAATTGCGCTTTACGTAGGCAGTTTGAATTTATTCTAATTGTATTTGGTCGGAAGATTTCGGCGTTGCCATTTCGCCCCAGGCTTCATTTAAGCGCTCAATTGCAAGCAGCGCCTAAGGTACACGCATCCAACCACCGGTCGTTGCGAACTTACTTTTATATCCCCATCTAGTACGTCAATTGTGAACATGAATGAACTATATACTAGTTCAACCGCCAATTATGAACGCTTGCGGTTGTCAGCTGTCGGGCTAATCTAGCAGTATTGTTAGAACTAACGCCAGTTCCTCTCACTTCATGGAAAGCGTTGAACTGGCGGAAATTGTTCATACATTTTGATGGCGAAGGTATGATGAACGCTCTAATTCACCTGTCTGAATTAATTAATTGAGAACTCGTAATGCGTGCCATATGTGAGCCGACGAATAGTTCTGCTCTGGTTGCCCTTGGGTTCTGCAGTACATGGCTCTTGCATAGGTCTTTAAATTTAACGTGAGACGTTTAAGTTATTAATAACTTAATACATATTTTAGGCTTTACCTCGTACGATTCCACTTAAGCAGTCGATTATTTTATTTCCATCAATTAGCTTGAGATGTTGAATTTCTTGCATTCGACGTTCACTACTTTCTTGACTCTTTTCCGCCCTCAATAATGCCTCTTCTCTTCTCCACCCTCGCCTATTCTCTGCTCTTCTAGTATTGAAGTATTCCCGTACACCAATACTTGAATGTGCCCGCATTACTGTCACCAATAACGCATCTTCTTATTATCCTCTCTTTTCAGTGATCAGTATTCCCATACACCAATACTTGAATGTGCCCGCATTACTGTCACCAATAACGCTTCTTATTATTGACGTCACAGCTGACGGTGCCGCTGGAGGCGCGTACGTCTCAGGGCAGCGCAGAAGCGACGTTGTACGTCACCGTCGAAGACGTCAACGAGTTTCCGCCGCGTTTTGCCAACGACGTTTATCAGACGCAGATTACTGAGGAAGACGACAGACACCTGCCTAAGCCGGTCATACAGGTGCGTCCTGCTGATATATGAACATTATTTATATTGTGATGTTGTTGTCAAGACTCGTGTAGTCATTGTGAGTTGTCATAGTGCTTCAAATTTTGTGTTCAATTTCCACTATTTCAACAAAATAGTCCTATTAGGTCCTTGATCCCTAAAATAGGTAGCTGAAAGTAGGAACAAAGTCTAAAATGCTGCTAATAATTATAATTGTAATAAAAAAATAAGAAATTTCTCTAGCAACGAAAAGTCAGAAGGAAGTAGGTTCGGTTGTTACCGTGCCGAAATATTGTGTGTTTTGTTGCCCAGGGCCTATACTTTCAAAAAAAGTTAAGAGATCGTAAGTTCATCCGCCAATCATTGACGGCCTTTCAATCCAAATCCACCAATCACTGACAAGAAAATAGAGCTTAACTAATTACGTTCACTTAGCGCGTTTTGAAAGTATGGCCCCAGGGATACAGACATCTGAAGATTGCCTTCAACATGGCTAGGTTATACGACAGGTGGAAGCCGCATCGGGCATCTGTGAAGCATGAGAATGGCAGTTGTTCTGAAATTCAAAACAAATCAGAGTTAAGTAGAAGGAATAAATATCGAACAAAGATTTTCTTTCAGAATCTAGGCAAGCATTGTGAAAATGAGACACTGATTTCGAATTGTAAGTTCGGCAAAACAATTCATTACAAAAAATGTTTCTGAAATTTAACCCTTCACCTTAATTAGTCAGTGTAGGGTTTAAAAAAAATCATAGCCAAAGTGATCTCGCGCTTAAAGAAGAATGTTCAAAAAGCGTTAATTATTAAAACTTTTGTTTACTAACAACACATGATTTGTTCTGCCAAATGTTTTTGAACACGCCGTTTTACTTCTCTCCGGAATGCTATATTGCGTATGCTTAAAAATTATCATACACGAAAATTCGGAACAATAACATTGTGCTGTGATTGTTTATATTATATCAGGGTGGTTTTGTGTGGACTCCTTTGAATTCTTTAAAGTTCGATTATTGCTAGTTTTTGATGAAAAAATAAACGCTGTATCCATCAACGCGCTCGTAGACGCGAGCTCGTAATCTCCAGGGATTCTTCGGCTGTCGTCTTCATTGCACTTAGGATATCCGTCCGTATTTTTTGGCTGCACTCGAAACGCTGCCGTACTCGGTTCTTAGCTTTGGCTGACTCAAGTCTGACTTCTGTCGTGTAAACTTAATCAAGTTTATATGCTTCGGCCAATATTTTATAAGATAAGTTTCCTATTGGTTTTTATTGATTGACATTCTGCTGACATTCTATGTTTTTTAACATTTTTTTGCACTCGACCCGTCATTTCAAAGAAGATTTCTGTTGGTACCTCTTTTTCCCTTGGACGAGCCTCACCATTCTTTATTTTATACACTTACTGTGTTAAGAAATTGAGTTCAATTTAATAACCTAATTTTTTAATAAGCTTGCATTTGTTTGTTAATGGCCGACCTCAGTGTCATCCGTATGCGGACTCCAATATTTGATGAATTAACATTTTCCACTCGCAAGATTACTTCATTCAACAAAATCCAATTGCATAAAAGCCTGAAATGTCGCAGACTCGCAGAATACGTCGCAATTCCTGCTTGACTCCATCCAAGATATGGGCGTGCTGTTGGATCATTTTTCGTATATGGAAGCTGCAGGAACACACGGATTCAGGAAACTCGAACATAATGAGGCTATGAATTTTATATGCAGTGTAAACTCCGGCGCCGTTGACCGTGTCGTTCCGATACATCCTCGCTAGTCTCTTAGTTGGAGAAGGTTGCGGAGAAACATGCTTACCTATTTGTTCACAGGTTAACTTAGGTGAAATTATATCAAGGTTTAAGTTATAAAAGAATTAGGTTAGTAGCTATGGGTAAACTCGACCATGTAAAAATACTTTGATTGTTTTATAATTCAATTCTAGAAGCAACTAAATACCATGTTTCTGAATGAGGTCCTCTGGTGCATGGTTCTTTCCACTGACTTAATAATTTTTATCATTATCATTATAATACTCGTACATTTTTTAAGCCGGCTCACATGAAGTATTGTAATATTTTAATTCATTGAAGTACTCACTACTCAGTGTCTTACCATCTTGAACTTCATCTAATCAAGGTCTACAATCAAAGAATTTCTCTCCAACATTTTTTCTTCGCATGGGAATTCGATTCATGTTTGAGGTTTTCATTAGCTTCTAAGCGATGTTTGAGGTTAATTTTTTTTCATTCTGCTAATGATACGCCGGTAGCTGGAAACTTCTGTCCAGTTCACTCCTCTCACTATGTCAAGTCCTGATGAATTATTTTCCTACTTAACACACTCGTATTACCTTTTATTACGACGTGACACAGATTTAAGGGAACATTGCTCATTCATTGCCTCCTGTGCTGATATCAAATTTAAGGCAGCGAAAAATTTAAGTTAGATTTTGTGTTGTTCGTTAGCAAAATATTTTTCCGATATCGCTAATTTAGTACGGATTGCATGCCCATTTTGTAGTGTCAGAGGAGAGAGCGTTAAAAATGGTGGAAAAGTAATATGATGCAGACCAAAGTATTTTCGGCGCAATGTCAGTTTCGTGCTTGATTTTATTTCAAGATGGAATACATGATTGATCCACGGATGATCGTCGAAACATTACAATAGCGTTAGTGACATATTTCTGAGAACCCTATGCTAATTATGTGACAATTTTAATTTCTTTTCTCGAGAGCTCAAGATATTTCTTTGTGGAGCTCCAGATATTTCTGCGTTCTGGCAGGACCAATGAAATATAGTATGCCTCGCACGCTGGATTACAGCCTTCAATGCGCTGTGTATTGTGTCGTAATTTGTGTCGCTGTCGGCGATGAGCCTGAAAAACCGTACGCACGGAACATTCCTGAGTGCAAAACGTTCAACTCAGAACCGCCCCCCGCCGTCGCCCCGCCCTCGGTCTCCAAGAGCAAACACTGGACGCGTCGCCGGGCTGCCTTCTCCGTTGATCCCGAGTCCGGCACCATCTACGTGCTTAAGGTGAGCAGAACGGCAAACTGGTAAGTACTTCCGTTACGGTCCAATACTTTTCTTCAGTATTTCACGGAGTCATTCCACTAGGTACGGCACCATCTACGTGCTTAAGATGAGTGGAACAATTAACTGGTAAATACTTCCGTTACGGTCCAATACTTTCTTCAGTACTAGACCGAGTCACTGCACTACGTACGGCACCATATATGTACATGAAAAATAAATGCATTCCCATGTATTTTGAATTACTCGATTGACTCCGAACCGTAAGTACAATCCAACATCGCCTGGAAAATTGAAAGGAGCGTCCTTGCATTAAAAGATTCATAGGATTTAATGGTCATCTATTTCTCTTGCTTGCTGTCTCATTTTTCAAGTTGGCTGCATGTCCAATAAGAGTTTGTCCTGCTCGCACTCGAAACGCTCGTTAATCTTATTCGCGTTTGCCAGGATTCGAGTTCTATCGCTGACCACATTCGTTTTGTTGTCGATATTATTTACTTTATTCTATAAACTCGAGTGAATAGCATTCCCCCATCATCTCTGACCCCCTCCTCCCCCCGGGAATAGACATGCAGTATCCGCGCTTGTAGCGCCGCCAACGTTACTGGTGAAGTAATTGATCATGTTTCTGACGCTCCATGGACGCGGGAATTGCGTGTGGCGGCCATATTAATTTGTGGCTTTACGAGGTCCTCATGAGAGCGCCGGGTGGGATGACGTGGAATTGGTTAACACAAATGATGGCTTCGTCAATGGGAGGTTCCGTTGACATACAATTAGTCATTTTGAATTTTCGATTCTTATGCAGTTAGTTGTCATGACATTAGGCCTTATTATAGGAAATAAGAGTTCAAATATTCGTCTTAAATTGGGTGTTGCAATGAATTTGTTAACAATGCAGTTATAAAAAGCATTTATTTGCCTCAAAATCATACATTCTCGTTGGTTTTACATCTCAGAATTGATTATTCGAAGCAAGTTATTCATTTTTGCTGTTAATTGTTAGTTTCTATTTTGACTGCAGTTGCTCACTCACTCTGCGCTGACCTCGCCCGCCAAAAGCGATGTCTTAGCGAGTTTCTATTCAGATAAAAGCAGTAACTCCTCTGAATGTAATTAAATCGTCAATGCTGGGGGCGAGATCCCGATTAAATTTAATTTCTATAAATATCGCAATTAATTCACAATTTCACATCTCACGCGAGCTCATGGCCATGTGAACGTGATCGCAATGAAAACATTCGCTACTGTCGAGGTAAACTTGGAGAAAGTTATATGAGGCTCCCAGTTATGTGCTCTGTTATTCATTCTTATTCGCGTGTGGTGCAAAGTTATAAGTAAATTCTCAGTTATAATTTGTTAATGTTATTTGTTGCACTGGCTTATGACATAAAACCCTACAGTGGGTATCAACTACAGAATTTAAAATGTATAGTTGCTGTTTAATAACCAAAACCGATAACGAAATATTCCTCCGAAAGGCGTCTGTTTTTTTTCATATCCTAATATCCGTCTCATTTTCAAAGAAGAAGGCTACTAATTTCTTATTGACGATCTCATACGAAGTAATGAACGTCGTCTTAAGAAGATCCTATTTTATTCCTACAAAGCTCTCTCGCTGATACCGACTGTCTTGACGTATTTATTGAATTAGCTGCCTTTTGTAAGACTTTCAGTGTCGCTTTTCTCTTAGATGTCCAGAGGTCTTGTTTTTATCACCGATGTTGTTTTTTTTATCGTCGCAGGAATCGATACAGCGGAAAAAACTCTCTCTGAAGTTGGATAGTTTCATACCTGTACATTTTTATCCTTTTCACTCCTCTCCAGCAATTTATTCCCAGCTGTTTCATTTTGGTGTTTCAATAGAAAGGAATCTCGTGCATCTCATCTCAATCCTTTATGACGTCTGAAAAGGAAGTTCTTTACTTTCGAAATCTTTTTAATGTTAGCCTTAAGACTCTTGAGCTCAATTCTAGTTTGCTTTGCAATGGAAACGGTCGTGTTTACAAAGTAATTGAAGTTGCGATCACTTTTGGCAACTGCAACAATGTTGGGAAATTTTACATCCTTTCTGGCTTGAGTGACCAGAAGTTAATATGTACAACATTTGAACATGGTTAGGATAGTTTATTACAGATATTCAGGCATAAATTAGTTCCGTTCCAATTAAAAGCTGGATTTTACGCTCAATTCAAATTCAGAGGAACAGTCGTCGTGGAATTTTTTACTTTGCTGGAAGAATCAAAGTTATGAACTTCTGTTTTTTGGATTTCACATCACTTTTTTTACTTGAAAATTTTGCACGCCTATTCGAACGTTTCTGTCGCACAATTGGTAAATTTTAACCTAGATAATGACCCATGATTCATCTAAAATTTATTTATAAATTTTGTTCGCGTGATAAATTTAACAAAATCTGTGAGTTCACTGAAAAGGCGTGAGAATCTCATTGGGAATTCATCTCAATCGTCATCCGTACCTCTACCGTTGATACATCGTCGGAAATTTGGTCCTGTCCGACGGGAAAAATTCGTCTGTAATTGTAGAACTAACGTAGCCGCAAACTCGGGAGTCCACACAAAGCGAGCTTATCGTAAGTCAGATGTCAATTTTGTTCTTATGGTGAATGTGTTTGTCATACGTAAATAAATCTATAACAATTTTATTGTCTCTCGTAGAGAATCTACTTGTGATATAGAACGACTTGATAAAGTTGAACGGGAAAGTTAGAATGTATTCAGTCTTTGTCGCGTTTTCATAAGTAACTTTATTTTACCCACTCAATGATATGTTCCATTAGGAGGCTGGCACTTTCGTTGGCACTCGAGGCCCTGCTAATTGGGTGTTCTTTATACCTAACGAGTTCTTCATGACTTATAATTAGGTGCTCTTTATACCTGCCGAACGTCACTTCAAAGAAGCTGCTCGTCTTGCCAAGTTTGCTCAAGTGCCATGCGATCTTATAGAAGTTCATCTTCAGCAGCCAACTTCCCCTCCATATAGCTACCCTTGAAAGATAATCAGCTCACTGCATGGGTCGCTCCTTTATTTGGTAGAGCAATTTGTACGAGCTTCATGCTTGCTCTAGACATGGTAATTGTCAAGTCATCACATGCACGTGAATAATTTTGTAGATATTTCCCGCTCTTAGTATGTTTTCTGGGCATTTTTGAGTTCGTTTGAGTAGCTTCATTAATGCAAGCAAGAATTTTTGAAGGCGTATCGCTCGCATTTGACGACATGTTTGATGTTGTTCCAAAGAGGTCAATGTGGTTTCTAATGCCGACGAACATTCCAATTAAGAATGCTTATGCATGCTAATCGATGCCGAGTTTCGTTTCATTGTTATCTGCAAAGCTCTGCGATATTTCTTGAACTATTTCTGTTTAATATTTAGCAGCTATCAAGGCTTAGGTTACCTCTTTGGCTTTGAATGTTATTTGCCCCTTTGATGGTTAAGGTCGGGACTAACATCTATATAGATTGTTGGTTATATTATGGGGTTTGCTCGAGGACTAAGGGTTAAGGTGCTTGCTCGAGGGCTAAGAAGTTCTGAATTATCTTGTTTCTCTCGATTTTCAAACAACAAATTCGATTGATATCATCAAATATTATGTATGTTTTTACTTCATTGTCCATGCGTTCATTTCTTGCCGCACTATTTGCTTGCTCAACAATTGATATAGCGGGCCTCCGCGGATCTTGGATGTCAACACATCGCCAGACGCGCGTTGCCGCGTGCATCCCGACGCTCATCTCGACCAGCCAGGAAGCTGATCCGGCATTTTTTCGGGAAAAACTGGGTCACGATGACCCACACAAGGACTGATAGTGCATCGCTATTTGGACAAAGTCTTATTTCTCTGAGTGCGTTTTACCGAAAGCAATGGGGCGGGGACGCTCAGCCCGGTGTGTTGTCTCGTCGTCCATTTGAGGGGTTATGAGAGGACAGCTGCGTGCGATCTTATTGTGAAATTGTTATTTACGTATTGAAGACTGCTAGATGGTAGCACGAATTTGCGTAATTTGAAAACTTTACTCAATTGTAAATGCTAAAAAATGAATATCAGTTTTCAGGAAATTGCCGTGTCTTGAAACTATCCCGCTCTGGAGATCAAAGGCAGAAAGTAACGACTGTAATATGATTATCTGAGGATTTAATAATTTTGAATCATTCAAAATACCCACAGGTCTATTTTTCATTCCAAACGTATAAAGTTCATTAGGTGGTATTTTCGCGATCAGTGACCGGGCAGTTCCGTTTGCGCCCTGACTGATGGTCCAAAATTCCAATAAAGGTTCCATTATCCCCCGAGGAGGATGATTTAGCGATGTCACTGGCGGACTTTGCCGCTGATCCCGAGAAATCGGGTTCTATTCGCTTATATCCATCTGACCTGACATTCTTTTTGTCCATTCACCTACTCTCCAAGGAATAACTTCTACCTATTACACTAACTGCAGAGTTGTCGTGAGACACGAATGAGGTTTTAGCTTCCACCGAAAGTCCCGCATTGACGTTCGGCATTGCACCGTCAAACCGCTTTGCTCGGCAAGCCTTGCGCCTTGCCGATATAATACTAATGCCGAATTCGACATATTCGCTATGTAGGCTTAAGTGGAGCGTTCAGTCCATTGAATCGCCTGGCTCAAGTGATACATTGCTTGCTGATGAATTTAATTGATATGCTGGAACACAGCGTTCCGTGCGTGGCTTGTCTGGAACGAGACAAGCCACGAACGAGACACGTGTTGATACATCAAATATCTATGTTACATGTACGATGACGGGATTTTTGAATTTTTCTTCTATTCTTATTAATAAAAATCGTTGTCTCTAGCATATTAGATCGAGCTCTCCGTTCTGTATTTTCTTATAAAGCCTTTAAAATGAATTCTCTTGATCTTATCCATCTGAGTTATGTGGCAAGAATACACCAGACGTTTTTTGCTCGCTTTATTTATTTTTTTTTCTGGTGGCACCTCATATTTATTATTTCTAC